TGCCTGGCCCTGGCCCACACCCTGGCCACGTCCCCCGTACAGCTCTGCCTCTCCTCTGCCTGGCCCTGGCCCACACCCTGGCCACGTCCCCCGTATAGCTCTGCCTCTCCTCTGCCTGGCCCTGGCCCACCTGCCCGGCCACGTCCCCCGTACAGCTCTGCCTCTCCTCTGCCTGGCCCTGGCCTACCTGCCCGGCCACGTCCCCCGTACAGCTCTGCCTCTCCTCTGCCTGGCCCTGGCCCACACCCTGACCACGTCCGTCCCCGCTGCCCAGGCTGCAGATGAGGTGGGGTGTCCTCCCCACAGAGCATGATGGACACAGCCATGTCCCCAGCTGACTGGCCTGGCTGTGAGAGGCTTGGCGCCTCAGCCAGGCTGCAGGCCCAGGCCCTCGGCGCACTGGGACAATCCGGCAGCCAGTCCTTTGTTAGGCCGTCCCCTGCCCAGCTGGGGACTGTTTACGCAGCTGAAATCCACACCTGTTGGGTGTTCTGAATGTGACTCACGCAGGTCCCGCTGCGGCCTCCACCTCCTGCATCTCCAGACGTCCCTCTCTCCCTGACCCAGCCCGGGCTCCCAGGCACTTTGACACACATGCGTGTGTGCACACGCATGCCTACCTACATGCACACCTACAAGGGCATGTGCATGTTACCCCAGCCCTGCACAGTTGCCTGTTGCACACACAGAGCTCCTTGGAGGCAGGATGTGAAAAACAAGAGGGTGCAGGCATGCAGTGTTCATGAGACAGAAAGCTCCCGGGGCGGGGAGGGGACGACAGGAAAGTCCGGAAGAGACCTTTGAGTCTTTCTACAGCGACGGCTTCACTTTTATAAAATTAAGGGCATGAGGAATAGAATAGTCTCAGAAATGTGTCCTCACCTATCCCTTCCTGAACCTCACAACGGCTGTCATCTAGGAGGGAAACTAAGGCTCAGAGGTGCTGAGGGTCCAGAGCAGAGGAGGGCCCTGGCAGAACTTCCCCCCTCTGCTGAACACAGTGGGCGTACTCCCAACCCCCACCCTGCGGAGGCCCCTGGCAGCCGTCTGTCCACAGGGCACCCAGGCTGGCTGCTCTCAGGCCGCCCCACGCCAGGCCTCTCCTGGCTGCCTTTCTATTTTTTTTTAAGATGTTCTTTTTGAAAGAAGTTAATCTTCACGTCAAGCTCATCCAAGCCAGAGCCTTACCAAGCACCGGCCTTGTGTACATCTGAAGCTTCTACATAAATCATACGGTGAGCAGGCACCCTGGCTCTCGCCTGCAATCCCAGCGACTCAGGAGGCTCAGATCTGAGGATCAAAGCCAACCTGGGCAGGAAAGTCCGTGAGACTCTTACCTCCAATGAACCACCAGAAAATCAGAAGTGGTGCTGTGGCTCAAAGTGGTAGAGCACTAGCCTTGAGCAAAAGAGCTCAGAGACAGTGCCCACGCCCCGAATTCAAGCCCCATGACCGACAAAAAGAAGTCAGTATGGCGGGCAGGGTGGATGTGGGCTGCACAGCCGTGTGGTACTGTGGAGGGAACGGGCTGGAGGCCAGCCTGGGGGAGGAAGCAGAGGTGGAGCGCCAAGGGCAGAAGCTGTGGGTCACGAGGGTCTGTGCTATTGAGGGGCTCCTTTGAACCTGGATGGCCTCCACGAGCGGCGGGCACAGCCAGTCAGGGCCCTGGGCATGGGTGGGGGTCTCCGCGGTTCAGTACACAGCACACATTTAGCCGGCAAAGCACCTGTGCCTGAGGGCCAGGGGGCTTGCAGTGTGAGTCTCGAGGAGCGCAGGGAGAACTCGGGCTGGGTGAGCCTCGAAGGCCGAGCCGTCAGGGGCCAAGCTGGAGCTGGCACTAGAGTGAGCCTTGGGCTGCACACCTGCTGCCCGCTCTGGCCGTGGCTGGTGGGCTCTAGGCTGCAGCCGAGGCTCTGGTGCTCAGGGCAGTGGGCCTTGTCTGCGCGTGGAGAGGGGGGTGCACAGCACAGCAGAGGGGTGTGGGAGTCCCAGGGCCACTGTGGTGCTTGTCCCCACAGATCCCAGGTCTAAGGTATGAGGCATGCAGGAAAGCCAGGGAGACTTGGTGCGGGGAGGGGTGGGGTGGGGGTGGGGGAGGGGAGAGGGACGCAGGGCGGCTTTTTGTCCCTTTCCCGTGTTCTTGGTGACATGCCTACAGTACTTATCATCTTCCAGGACAGGTTTCTGCTGAGCAGGGGTCTGGCCACACCCTATGGTGAGGGTGGCTCAGCCGTGGGAAGTCTGGGTGAGGCGCTCCAGCCCAGACCCACAGCCCAGAGCCAGGGGCCCAGGGTCTCAGACTCTCAGGGCATCTATATCAAGCCTGGGCAAGGACAAGGGCTTAGCTCCCTGAGCTATGTGGGGCCCCAGAGCTAGTCAAGGAGACCCCAGCTTCTCCTGGGAAAAAAGGGGAGCAGGGAGCACCCAAAGGCCCCGCCTGGCAAACACATCCTCGGCCTGTTCCATGACCAGGGCTGGACTAGGCCTGGACCCCAGGCTGCCAGGCGCTCCACTCTCCAGGGTCCTGGGGAGGGGCAGGTCGGCAGGAATGCCTGGCCCAGGAAGCCTTCCCAAAGCTCCACCCCAAAGCCAGCCAAGACCTTCCACCAGCTCCACCACCTGTCCACCGTGCTCTCTACAGCACGGCATGGGACCGCTCCCAACCCTCCGCTTCCTGCAGCTCTGAATCTGCCACCCTGGGCTGTGGCTCGGGCAGCGCTGAGCAGGGCTGGGCTCTGCCTCTGCCTCCGCGCTCAGCCTGGGGCCCCGGGTTTTGGGTGTGTGTGTGTGTGTGTAAACATGCTCAGCCTGGGGCCCCGGGTTTTGGGTGGTGTGTGTGTGTGTGTGTGTGTGTGTGTGTGTGTGTGTATCTCTGTGAGGAGACAATAGCTATCTCCTGACTCCCTCCTGCCTGCTGGTTCATCCTGGTGCCTGGTCAGGAACTGGAATGTGTGTGGACAAAGCTGAGGGGGCAGGTCTGCGGCCTGGGGAGGCTATGCCGGGAGGTCTGGGGTTCAGTCTCACAAGATCTGCGACAGCTCTCTGTCCCTTTAATCCTGGTTTCTCTCTGTGATGGTCACTAGGAAGCCGGACTAGGTGGTACTCATGGGGAGTGATGTGAGCAGATCCACTGGGGAAGGGACCGGAGGGTGAAACAGGGTGTAGGGAAGCCCTCCAGGGGGAGAGGCTGGTGTCTGTGTGTCCAGGCCCTGCTTCCTGCCTGCCTCCTCGTGCTCAGCCAGGCCGGCCCCCAGCACAAGGTACCCCCGAGTTGCGGCCAAGGACCAGAGCGGGCTACACCCCAGCCCCGTCAGCTTCCCACCGGGCGCCTTGGGCTCACACCCCTGCAGCAGAGGGCTCTGGGCCCACAACAGCCCTGCGCAGGCTGGAGACCGACGGGGGGCCACCACTGACCCGGTAACTCAAAAGCTCCTTTGTACACTTGAGTTAAGGGTTGGCCTGTGAGATGCTACAGCACAAAGCTTCTTGACCCCTCTGCCTGGGGCCTGGGGGCCCCTTGTCCCCCCAGCCCCAAGCACGCACGCACGCAGGCCAGCAGGAACCGAAAGTGAAAACAAGTTCAACCAATAAGGAAGGGAGCCCCCCGAGGCCTGGTTTCCCGGAGACCCCTAAAAGTATGGGCGGAGAGTGCTCCCCAGGGTCGAAGGCCTGAAGATCCTCTCATTTAGGGACCTACACGCACAGCAAAGCACCCCATCTCTGCTGGGCACCATCCCCAGCCTGACACTGGCCAGCCCGCGGCCATCACGGCTCAGTGACAAGGCTGTGCCCTCTGTGGCTGAGTGCTGAGCAGCCTGGCAGCACTGCAGGCCCCAAGTTCTGGGGCTGCTCAGGCTGAGCACATTAAGAGCCCCCTGCCTGCTTCCTGCTTCCTCCGCCATGCCAGAGGTCTTGGGCCGCCTGGGCTTTCTCCTGGACATGAAATCCCACCTCACTCCGGGGAGGCCTGCGGGAGCCAGGCCACCCCGTGTCCTCCCCGGCCCCCAGCCCCGCGCACGGCAGCACTCACCAGCCGCTTCTGGGGCCGCACTAGCGGCCTGTTGACGCCGTTCATCTTGTGATAGAGGCCGCAGGCGTTGCACAGGTAGTGGCCGGTGCCGTCGCGGCGCCACAGCGGCGTGGACAGGGCCCCGCAGTTGACGCACTCCCGGCCCTCACCCGGGAACTCCTCCAAGAAGTCGGACACTGCTGGACGAGCAGCCCATGAGCCCCCGTCCTCCGGGGCGGCTCCCGGGAGCCAGGAGGCTGCGGGCTGACCCCTCCCTGCCTGTCCTGTGCCTGTCTCATTCCCCTTTTTCCTTTTATTCGTAGAGAGAGTTGCTACTTTAATAAGGTAGCCAGAGTGTGAATAAACTGAACTTTAGAGATGGCCCCGGCCTGAACCAGGGACTGCACACACATCTGTAGTTTTAACCCGCTTGGGAAGCAGAAATGTCTCCCCTGGAGAAGGGAGGGGACCAAAGGGCACTGCCCCATGCCACTACGTCCCCTCCCTGGCCCCCTAACTCCTCCTGCACCTCCTCTGTAACGTGGAGGGGAGGTGGGTTGGGAGAACAAGATCTAAGAAGGGCTCTGGTGGCCTTACTGTCAGCTTTGTTGTGGTCACAACCACAGGACAGCGCAGCTTCACCCACACCAGCAGGGTGAAGGGCTGCTCGGCCCCTCCAGGCCCAGCCAGGCGCCAGCGGTGCCGGGGCGGGGGCGGGGTGAGGATCAATCATCACCCAGCTGGGGGTGGGCGCCAGGCATGGGCCTGCGCTGGGCGCCTGGGCCAGGGGAGCCAAAAGGCAGCTAAAAAGCGGGGGGGGGCCCCTGGCAGCAAGCCCCCCACCAGCCCAGGGAGGCTCAAGCAGAAGTGGGGCCCTGGGAGTGGAGACTGCCGCTTAAAATACTCAGAGACCGGGTGGAGCAATTGCTCGCTCCACAGGCCTGAAGCAGAAGGCTGGAACGCGTGCTCCCACCCAGCCACCAGAGCCCAGCCTGAGACTGGACGCAGGTTTTCTCGGGCAGCCTGATTAAACAAGCCAGTATCTATCTACACCTTCCTTAAAACCAGTTCCCAACCGCACGCTCCCAAGAGGCACAAAGGAGCGTGCTGTTTTGGGTTTAGTTGGATGAAAAGGCGGAAGTGAACGAGCTCTCTCGCTCCTTCCTTCCTTTCATTCCTTCCTTTCTCCTTTCCTTCCTCTCTCCTTCTTCCTTCCTTTCTCTTTCCTTCCTTTCCTTCCTTTCCCTCTGTCCTCTTCTCCTCCTCTCCCCTCCTTTCTGCAGTAATGCTAGAAGAAAACCGGCCAGGGGGTCTCCCAGCGGGCACAGCCTTCCACCGTGACCGGCCCGGAGCTAAGGCCACCAAGAGCGGCCGGCCGCGGGGAGGGAGCGCGCTTCGCAGGGAGCGGGTTTAAGAG